CCTCACGCCTCATTCCAACTCGCGACACCCCCTCCCTCCCTCCTCTCCGCCTCGCCCCGCCCCCCTCCTCTTCGCTTGGCGCCTCTTTCTGCCTCGCGCCGCCCCCTCCCTCCCTCCTCTCCGCCTCGCGCGTCGCGCCGCCCATCGAATCGTGCTGAGGTAAAAACTTATTCTCAGAAACGTAAGAGGAAATTTTATTCAAAATCATTGGTGGACACCACATAATGTTTCATTGTACACTGAAAAATAATTTTTAAAAAATAGGAAATCAGTTTAAGATAACTATATAAAAATTTAAGGTCAAGGATGTTTCTGTGAAATAACCGTATTTAAAATTTTTTTCTTTACAGATTTTTTTTTTTGAAAAATGGTGGAAGCGGATCGTCCAGGGAAGTTATTTATAGGAGGACTCAATACAGAAACAAATGAAAAAGCTCTTGAGTCAGTTTTTGGAAAATATGGCCGGATAATAGAAGGTAATTATGAATGATGTAATGGGGGGGGTTGGAATAAAAATATTTGCTATCCAAAGACTAAAATTACTTCAGATATTATAGGAAATAAAATTTCCCTAATATGCCTTACTATTCAAATCTCTGAAAAGGCAGACTTCCATTGAAAACCTTGCACTTAGTTTCTTTAAAAAGAAATTTTATATTAACATAATAAAGAATTTTTAAAATATTACTTTTGTTTCAGTTCTGTTGATGAAAGATAGACAAACCAAGAAATCCAGAGGCTTTGCTTTTATTACTTTTGAGAGTCCAGCTGATGCAAAAGATGCTGCAAGAGACATGAATGGAAAGGTAGTTTTTCATTTGCGCCTTTATATTTTTTTCTGACTCAATCCATTTTCCTAATCTATTCCATTTGGAACCTTGGGAAATAATTTTTCTTAAATGGTTAAATTACATCACAACAATTTGATACTCTCCAAAAACACCAACCTTTAATTTCTACAATTTTTCCAAACTTTAAATGACTTGTTTTCAAAATAACATTTTAAGGAATCACTGCAAGTGTGTCGTCTTCAAGGTTTCTGTCATTTGCTTTAAACATGAAATGTATCTATCCTAATTTTAGCGTGCCATTTATTTTTGTCTGAATAATCTTTCATGAACAAGACTTTTCATGTAATCTTTCATAACTAAAAGTATCTACAGAAGTTAATTGTTATCCACAAAGGTACATTCTTATTCTGTTAACACTTTGTTATTTTTTCTTTAAATTTCATTTTCCATTGCTAAAAAAGGGATTCAATGATGTAAGCAGTATCATTTGTTCTACAGGTTTTTTTTAATATATAGTGAACTACAGTATGCTGTCATATTTAATCCTTAAAACCCTTATTTCAATACATTTAAAAATATTTCCACTCAAACTAATATCTCCTTTTTCAGTTCTTATTAGAGTATAATTTCATATGCTAGACCATATCAGAATGATCAAAATCAGATACAGAGAAAACTTTCTTATACTTAATATTTTTATAGATTCTATAATTAGAAATGATTAATACATGGGGAGGAGACCTACCCAACTGTAACAGAGAAAAATTAGGGGCTACTAATAACAACAAATAAGATCTAGATGAAAAACAAGGATTTACATTTTATTTGATAACCTTTAGAAAATGTTTATGAACAAAAGGAAGATGAAGTTAAAAATATTTAAGCAATCTAATTCTAATAACTTTTGAAAAGAATAATTACAGAAGCCAATAATCTGAAAAATTCAAAGAAAGGACTGAACTCTACATCTAAACCATAAATTGAACTAAAAATCCTTAGAATCAGATTATAGGAATCTTTTACATTAGCCAAGCTACAAGATGAAAGTTGTCTCTAGGTAGCTGGTTGGCTAGTTTAGAGAAAGAGCTTTGCATTTTCAGTGGAAAAAAGTAATTTTGTTTTTTAAAATACTGGAATCTTCACGTCTTAACCCCTAAACATTTTGAAGAGAAAGTGATATAGCAACTAAAAATAAACATTTTAGAATAAATAGTACAAAGTTAGTGATAAAAACTAATAAGATATAACATCTTTAAAAGAAAAATGCAAACAGCTGAAATGAATGGTAGCAAATAAGCAAAAGAGATAGGCAATTATTATAAGTAAGTTATCCCTCCCTTGCAGAAAAGGAATAATGTACTATATGGTATATGTTTATGGTATGTGGTGTTAGTCTATAACTGAGGCCGAGGAAGATGAAGGGAATTTGTGTTTTTAAAGTTTGCTTTTTGTACATTTTTGTTACATATAGAATATTAGCAAGTCAAGCTACTATCTATTCCCAGCAATACTTATGAGTTATCAAAATGTATAAAACAAATTTTGTTAAAAAATTACAGAATGATTGATTTCAAATATTTGATCACTGTGATTCTTAATCAATTTTCTGTTTGCAAAGTTCATTTTTGCCTTACAACAGCCCTGTGAAGTGGATGATGAAACAAACTGAGGACCAGAAAGGTTAATTTGACTTATCTAAGGTTGTATGCAACTAGTAAGTGGCTTAGTTGGGGCTAAAATGTGGGTTTACTCACTTGGTATCTAATGTTTTTTCTACTATATAACTCCATCTCAAATTAGGAAGCAGAACAAGATGGTTGTCAGTCTTTTTTTTTTTCCTTATTGCCAGAGGGAGTTCTTAAAATCAGTATAAGAACACCAAACACAGGTATTTTTTTGGGTTACTCATGGGTTTTGTAGAATGTCCAGTATTAATGGTATTTATTATTAGATGTCATTTAATGCTGTCTTTGAGAGGAAAAAAATCTCTTATCAAAGAAAATTGAACAATAATATAATCTCATTTAAACATAAGTTGAAAACGGATCTGAAGTAAGTTTTTTCAACTAAAGTTCACTTTAATGTTTGAAAAAATAATTGTTCCTTTTAGTTCTTAGATGGAAAATCAATTAAGGTGGAACAAGCCACCAAACCATCATATGCAAGAGGTGGTAGGCGAGGGCCACCACCCCCTCCAAGAAGCAGAGGTCCTCCAAAAGGTCTTAGAGGTGGAAGAGGAGGAAATGATGGAGCAAGAGGGCCACCTCGTGGATGGCGCATGGGTAATGTAGTAATCAAATGCCGGAACTAACAGAAAAATCCAACACCATAGTATTTGTTTTTGTTAAATGAGTCTTTGTTTAAACTAAGAAGGAAGAAAGAAACACTTCCTTTGCAAATATGGGTGAAGTTTATTTTCTTGAAAACAAATACAGGTAAAATTTCCTCATTCCAAAAATATAGTTGAAGTTTTGCCATACTTTTGTTTTTCTCCAAAGGGGGGTGAAAAGATAAATGCCACTTAAAATTATATCCAATTTTGAAAATATATTTGAAAAATTTCTTTTAGTTGTATCACATAAATTATGTGAATTACTAGGCAATGCAAAAAGGCATGCTTTTCGTATGGTTTCTCTCTTGATGGAGAAATAGTTTTTTCAAGACTTCAGAAAATCTATATCTTTAATATGTGTATGCACTCCACTGGTGGAAATAAAAATCTTTCTAAAACCAAGAAAATGTTTAGTATTTCAAGCCTAATGAGTTTATGCTCTAGTTATTATTTTTTAGAGGCCTCATACTGAAGTTTTATAGTTTGGCAGTTTTTGACAGATTTTACATATGTTAGTGGAACCCTTAAGAATTCAGTCATTTCTTTACAATAATATGATGTTGTGGTGGTATTGGAACACTTGTTCGATTTTATTTGTATTTAGCTGGAGACTTAACATTTCTAAAAGTGGATTATTAGTTGATGGTATATCAGTGTTTGATTCAGGTAACCACATTTACTTCTTTAGTTGAAAAGATATCAAGTGACCAAATTCTGTACTGTTGTAAAGAATGTATTGAAATTCATGTATTTTTGATCATACATTTTGATTCATTCAGATGATGGTAACGATACTAATGGTTTTTTTTTTTTATTCTTTCTATTTTTTTTTCATTGTATAGATGACAGTGGATATTCTCTTAATGTCAACATGGGTTCTTCAAAGGGACCACTCCCAGTTAAAAGGGGTCCACCACCACGAAGTGGAGGACCTCCACCTAAAAGATCTGCACCTTCTGGACCAGTGCGTAGCAGTAGTGGAATGGGAGGAAGAGGTAAATTCTCTATATTGGAAAGTTTCAAATCCATGAAAATAATTTAGGATTAGTAAATTTAGTTTGTAATAAAATTTCATTTGGAAGAGAATGATAGGTTTTAGAGATTTCATGTGGAGGACTACCAAATATTAATTTCTGTCATGTATCAAGAAACAACTTTCTTTTCTTAAGCCCAAAAAAACCGTTTATTTCACATACTTAACAGTATAAAATCACTGCTAAAAAATAGTAAATAGGTTTATAATTACGGTAAGGGATAGTTGATATGCTCTAAACTCATTATGTCACACTAAAAACTTGAGGTTTAAAGATTGCTGGACTTTTTATAGTAGAGAAAAGAGCAGTCCAAAGTAAGAAAATGGCACAAGACTAAATGGCAGGAAAAATTTATGTTGGGATGTAATGGGAGGAGGGGGTTTGAAAGGTGGATATAGCAAAGTTGTGTAGTTTGGATCCCTTCTCTGAATGTTCTTAAGCACATAAAAACAAATATAAAATTACATAGGATCACAAATGAAATCAGTTTTATTTAAAGTTATTTAAAATTTTTTTTGAAAAGTTGTGTTAGGCAACAACTCATAATAGAGAAAGAGAAATGTTAAGTGGGTTAATAACAGAAGCTGTCTTAAATGCGTTTGTTAATTTTGGAGGGAAAGCTGAAATCCTATAATTGTAGCTAACATTTATGAACAGCTGTGGTGTTTGCAGAAAAACATTTTATGTTTTGTCCTCTCAAAAACCCTGAAAGGTAAGTCCTACCTATTATTTTTCTCATTTTACAGAAGAGAAGCTGAGGAAGGTTAAGTGGTTTGCCTAGAGTCAGAACTCGTGTCTGAGGCAGAATTTGAACTCTGATAAGAATTGCATTCATGCCATTTATCTGACTTCTTCAGAGAGTAGAATCAAATTAGGAATTGGAGTTGAAAAGATAATAAATTATTCTCAGGAATATTCTAGGGGTTAGTAACAGAAGAATTTTTAAAAACTGACAGCTGTCTTCCTAATCAATCCTCAGTCAACATGTTATCTTACTTTTGTATGTTTTGTGAACTGAATAATTAAGAAGTCTCTATAGCCAGAAGAGAGTTATTAATGGGTAAAATGAAAGGGTATCAAGTAATGAGAAATCAGTATCATTAAAGAGAGTTCTTTTATTATTAAGGAAGTTGGTAAAGAAATGATCATCTGAAAACAGGTTTGAATAGATAGAGTTGACTTTTCATATTGGAGCAATTGTGAGGTCAGAAATTTCAGTCACTTGGTAGATATTTCCCTAAGTATGCCATCCTAATTTTATGCCAGTAATTCTGAGTTTTAAGGCTTAGTACACATAATTTATACTGAAGTATAAAGGATAAAGGATTGCTGTACAGTCCCACAGGTATTAAATGTCCTCGTCTGATTACTTTAGCTTTTGCTATTCTGGTACCAATACCTCACTCTCTTGTGTGCATATAATTTCATGTGCCTTTGTATTATTTCTCCTGTAAAACTGTTAATAAGAGGAACTGTTGTATTCATAGTTATATCACTTCTTACCATTTAGTAAGGTCGTACATATTTTTGTTAAAATGTTTCATCTAGTTGAATTAAGAGCTGCATGTTAAGTCTTTATTCTTACTTAAGTTGGCCTCTTGTTTTTTCATTTCTTTGTAGTTGTCATTTAACTACATTACTTCAGATGTTGGTTTAAAATTTTTAAACATTTTTTAAGGGCCAGTGTCACGTGGAAGAGATAGCTATGGAGCTCCTCCACGAAGAGAACCAATGTCATCACGCAGAGATGTGTATACGTCACCAAGAGATGATAGTTACAGTACTAAAGAGAGGTAAGTGAAATAACAGTATTTTAGTTGAGAAGTGTTTTTATTTTATGTTATCTAATTCACCTTTTAATTTTAGTTATTCAAGCAGAGATTATGCAAGTTCTCGGGATACCAGAGATTATGCTCCACCTTCAAGGGACTATATATACCGTGATTATGGCCATTCTAGCTCACGTGATGAATATACATCTAGAGGATATGGGTACAGTACCACCACATTGGTCTGTTTCATGGGGACACACTTGATTTAAGCTTTAATAATTTTTACTTACTGTATTTTTCTTTGTTTAGTGACCGTGATGGCTATGCTGGAGGTCGTGATAGAGACTATTCAGATCATCCAAGTGGAGGGTCCTACAGAGATTCTTATGAGAGTTATGGTAAGAACATAGTTTTTAAGATCATACACTATAAGACCATAGCCCTCATTAACAGTTTTTAAGAAAAATAGCTGTTTAGTCTTTTGTGAACTTGATGAATTTGTAAATTTTATTTTAAAGTCTTCATGAAAGAATTGTCTTTCTTCCCAGTGGTGAAAATACTGGAAAACGTGTAAAGGAGTAAATGAGTAGTAAAAGAAAATGCAGCTTATCCTTGGAAAATGTCTGCTTCATACTTATTATAAGTATGGTATTTATGTATTTTGTGTTTTTAATCTTCAAGCATTAAATTCATTCACTGTCCTATATAAATTTGCAGCAAAGATAAATTTCCATGCAAAAAATTAATAAATATTTCTGTAAAATTAGATTTAAATGTTATGTATATGCTACTTAATAATTATCTCGTGATTCTGCAGGTAACTCCGGTAGTACTCCACCTACTCAAGGGCCTCCTCCCTCTTCTGGGGGAAGTAGTCGCTATGATGATTACAGCAGTGCAAGAGATGGATATGGTGGAAGTCGTGAAAGTTACTCAAGTAGCCGAAGTGATATCTATTCAAGTGGTCGTGATTGTTTTGGCAGACAAGAGAGAGGGCTTCCTGCTTCATTGGATAGAGGATATCCTACCCCACGTGATTCATATAGCAGTTCAAGCTGTGGAGCTGCAAGAAGTGGTGGCCGTGGGGGAAGTAGATCTGAAAGAGGAGGCAGAAGCAGATATTAAAAGAAATATGAGTTTTTTCAACCAAACTGCCTTTTCAGAGAAATTAAGAATTGAGTTTATTTTATCTTAACCACCAGAGCACTACAGAGGACTAATTTTTATTTTGTGCCTCCATAATTTTCCATTCTTGTAAGCAGAAAGCTCTAAGTGTTTAAAAGTAGTTCATAATGCTTTCATGCAGTAATTAAATTAAAAAGTTTGAAGTTAGTGTTACGATTTTGAAAATAAAGTTTTTCTGAACTTCCTTGATTTTATTCCTGAATTAAACGTTCTGAGATTCATATCTGTGCAGATAACCAAGGCATCTAAGATGGAAACTAAACGAGCATGCTAATTCTGTGGTTGAGGGTGGTTTGTGCTATTTTATTAGTCTATACCAGATTTTTAAAAGGATGGGGGAAATAACAGACACAAAACATTCACATGTGTACATATGCCCGTGTATTGAGAATTAACAATTTATGTAAAATTCCAGCTATTGAGCTATATATAGCACAAACTGTTGAGAATTTACAAGAAATTTGTCCTGGGGAAAATTAAATCTTTGTCATTGCAAAGCACCAGATAAATGCCTTTTAATTAAATATAATTTTTAAAAATTAAAAAATATAAATGCTAAGTAGAATGTTTTATAAAAAATTGTCATTTTGTCAGTGTGAAATAATATTTTTTTGAGCTTTGTAAAAATCATCCCAAAGTAATGGAAATATTCATAGCAGGGTTAAAAAAATGAGCTCAGAACAGATGAAGATGGGATATTGCTTATAAAGCTTTTAAAGTCCCTAATCAGGTTCCTTGAAATTAATGGCAGTGGTAATTTTAACAAGGCATTTATCTAGCGGTTTGTACCTGATGGTGGCAGGTAGGCATAGCACTGGGCCTGGAATCAGGAACACCCTAGTACAAATATGACACTAGCTGTGTGACCTCAGGTAAGTTACAACCTAATTTGCCTCGATATCATCTGTAAACTGTGCTGGAGAAGGAAATGGTAAACCATTACATTATCTTTGCTAAGAAAATCCCATGACTGAGTGACAACCAGGACTTATTTTTTAAAAAAATCTGCCCTTGAGCTGTAATGTAGCAGGAGAGACAACATACAAAATATAAAACATGTACAGTAGTGGAATATAAAAGGAAGATAGTCTCAGAAAAAGTGGTTTAGATGTAAAGTGGGGGCCCTGGGCAAGTCGTTTAAGCTGCATCTTCATTTCCTAAATAGGTAGTGGCACCTACCTTACAGAGATTTTGTAAAGCGTTTAGTACAATGTCTGGCGATGTAGTAGGCTTATTTCTACCCTCTTTGCCTTAGGTGCTAAACTTCTGTTTCAGATCCTTAGAAGAAAGTTTCTACATTGAAAGTTAGCAAGTATTTACTAATAATATTATATACTGTGCTAGGAAAAAACCTTTTCACTTTCTAATAATCTAATGGGATTACAACACAACCCAAAAAGAATCTAAAGGGTGATTGAAGGCAGAGAATACCTAGTATGAAAGATAATGAAGTCCAAATCAGATAATACAGTATCTACTATGCTTGATGGATACCAATAAAAAGTCAAGGAGCTTACAATGTAATGCACACAACTGTGTTTAAACAGGATAACTAAGCATTATACTAAGCCTAAAGATTCTAAAGTAGGAACAGGGAACAGTCCCTGCCTCTTAAAATATCCCATTTAAGTTAATAAATAAATCCATAAAGAGTTGAAGGAAGGTGAGCAAGGGGGTGAATGGAGAGGAAAGGCTCAAATGAATGAAGTTTAAAAGGCCTCAATAATATGATAAATGTTTAAGCAGCTCTTTAGGAGAAAAATATAGCATGATGCACTTTTTTTCTGATTTTTAAGTTTTGAGTTCCAAATTCTATGCTTCCTGCCCTCACATCCCCCCTCACTGAGATGGTAATAAATTAGATGTAGGTTACACGTGCAATTAGGAAAGTATTTCCATATTAGTTATTTTGGCACAATTGAGTTTCTAATTTAAACTGCATTATTAACCTTTTTTCCATAGGTTCCCAAAATGGGCAATACTACCTGTTGTAGGAGTGCTAACGAATGAACTAGATGGGTGGTAGTAACCTTGGGTGCAACTGGGGGACATTGAATAAAATTAAGAGGTGGTGAAGCATAAGGAAAGAAGAGAAGATAAAAATTTGAAAAGCCATTTACATGTGTTTCATCTTTTGTCTGAGAGACAAAGTCAGCAATTACGTTATTTTCCAGGTAAATACACAAAATGTAAGTTATAACCAATCAGTGGTGAAATCTGCTGACAGATCTTTACAAGCAATTGTTGCGCATTATCAGGAAGTCTTGCATGCATGTGCAGGAACATATGTATGTAGTGACTTGTTTACAGTAATACTATAGGGTCACATGAGAATTTGACAATATTGTGTCATCAAAATTTCAATGCAGGAAAAATCCCACAAACTTTACAATTTATTAAATTTAAGTTGCCTCATTTAAAAAAAATTACACATATTTGGAATAATGCAAATTATAAAAATTTACAGAGTTAAAGATTTCTAGGGTTGCTGAATAATTTTTTTTTTTTTATGAAAAGGGGATGGTGCATTTGGGAACCTCTGAACTAGACAATCAGCAAAATAGTAATTTAAGCCCTGATTTGTTAGTGCTTGTCTGAATGATCACATTCAAATTATCAGTTCAGAATCCTGTGGCTGCGAAAGGGGGCTTTGAATCTTTAAGGAAGCCAATAATCAAAAAGCAAAGGTGAGAGGGCAGAACATTGTATGGATAGGGACAGCCAGTACAAATCAGAAATGTTAAATAAAATTGTAAAATGCAAGAAATGGGAAGGGGAGTAAAATATGAGAAAACTAGAAAGGTGTTAAGAAAGCTTGTGTTTAGGTCTCAAATGCAAAAAAAAAGAAAAAAGATTCTCTTTGTCTCTATCTCTCTCTGTGTCTCTTCACTCACATGCAGACACATAGACACATCCATTTACCAATGAGGAGAGAATCCCATACTAATGGACATTTGGGGTAGATTATGTAAGCAATTCATCTTCACATATTCCCTTTTAAATAAGCAGATGTGTGTACCCTACGCTGAATAAATAATGGGTACAGAAATGTTCATCTGACCCCTTTCTCACTTGCTACCCAATGCCAGGTCAAAAATACAGAGTAGAGAGGAACAGTAGTGAACATTGTCAGAGGGGACAGGCTAAACCAGGTTGAGGGTAACTTACAGGCGTCAAACCTGTCAGTGAGTTAGGAGGATGTCTATCACAAACATGCAAAGACCTCCCATAGAGGAATGGGTAGATGAAAACAATTTGTTTCAATAGCTATGAAGGCAGCTGAAGTAGACGCTGTGGAGTGCTTAGAGCTTGGTCAGACATGTAGGATGCCAAGGTCACCTATTACAACCTGGACCATTGCCAGTCATTGTGACTTACTCCTTGCCACAGGATTTCAATGGTTTTGGAAGAGAGAGTGAGGCTGATAATTTTGTGCAACTCTGACTCACTTTTATTTTTTTTTTAATTTTTTTTTATTTTTTCAGCCAAACACAGGTTTATTATAATATCTGCCATATTGGGCAAACTCTTAAGGAGTCTGAACATGGGCTAGCTATGGCTAGATTATAAGAATCTAAGCATCTTAATGGAAACAAGATGGGCCTTTTATACGGAAAGACTGTGGGAGGGATCTAGGAGTGGATCTAAATGGGAGTGCCCAGTAAACTGGGGTGAACAGGACTCCAGGGACCTGGGCAATGGAGCCTAGCTAGGATTAAGTGTGAGAAATGACCAGGGGCCATAGGGAGGGAGGGCTAGGCTAGGTTAAGGGTAACAGAATTGGGAGACTGGGCATAGCCACAATGCAAGGCCAGTTGATAGGATTATAGCCTCAGGCTAAAGCCAGAGATTTGGCCATGTGAGAAAGTCCAGAGTTTTTCCTTTCTGGGGCCCAGATCCCAACTCTATCATTCCCCCCTCAAACAAATGGGACCCAAATTCTTTTGGAGTAAGGGGTGAAGGTCTCAGATTCTAAAACTGCTTCCTGCTGGCAAAGGGCATAGAGCTGTCCCTACCTCAAAGGGGTCCCGAAGAGGAGGTTGACTGGAACTGAGCACAGGCTGCATCCAGAGGATGATGGGGGGACATTGGCTGGTACTTGGTATTTGCTACCAACAGTAGGTGAATTGGCCTGTAATCTGACTGACAATTGTGAGAGGGTTAAATTTCCACAGAGAAAGAGAATAATTCAGAGATTTAAAGAACAATTCCAGGAAGTAGTACACCATGGGTGGGCTAGGGCTTAACTGATAAGAAGTACGTGGATGGCTCCAAAAAGACTCCAAATTCAAAATAAGGGTCAAGCCAGCTCAGACCAGTTAGGGTCAACCTGAGGACACCTGAAAAATGTTAGTGTGCCTACTTGATGAACTTCATTACTATTATCTGACACACCCTGAATAAAATTAGAGCCTCATTAACAAGTCATGGGATGCATGACCAAGGGATGGGGAATATACTTGAGCATATCAAGGAGAAACATGTAAGGCGGGGTGTAACTTGGGAAGGGATGGACCAATCCAGGCCTGGGAGGTTTTACACAAAATTTGAATGCATAAAAGCATGCTTGCCCTTGAACTTGGGGCCCATCCCTCCTGAAGAGGGGTGGAGCCTGCTTCTGGCCAGAAATATCTAATCCTCTGGACTTTCTCTGTAATAAACTTTCTTGATACGAAATTTTAGTTGTCAAGCGTATTTCTAACACATCTTAATTGTGCATTTGGTTAGAATTCTGTAATGTTCACTTCGGTAAGAGGAATAATAGAGAAGGCAAGCGATGGAGGGATGGGAGAGGAAACACCTTCCTGCAGAAGTAGTTCCAGCCGAGGTGAAATTTCCTAATGCTGACCCGGCTGGCATCATAATAATGAAGTCCATAAGGCCCATATGCAGGACCTTAGGGAATTAATAATAACTGGAATCAAGGAAGCTGTGCCAAAATCACAGGATTTGAACAAGGCATTTGAAGTTTATCAGAAAAACGAAACTCCCTCCGAGTCAAGGCAAGGATCAAGGACCCAGT